AACAGGAGATGCAAGATCCATGGTAGATCTGCAGTGCTGCGACCACGAGCACGGGGAGCTATGTCCAGCGATGGCAAGCCGAGTGAGAACCGTCGACGGCGTGGCAGTGAGCACCAGGCGGATGAGGTGCACGTAGGAGGTGGAAGAAAATAGAATAAAGTCCAATGGCTAATTAAGTGCAGATAGTATGGTGGTGGTGGTGCTGCTGCTGGGAGGTGGGAGGGGGGTTGCCTACCGTTGACCTTGTGCTATTTGTCGGTTTTAGTCAGCCAAGTTGTATAGGGAAATATATTGCTCAAGATTGTGTAGTACCTACGTATTATCCTAAGTAGTCAATAAAGTTTTTTCTTGCAAAAAAGAAGGTTTATGCGTTATGATTCATATCAAAATTACCTCACAAAAAATGATTTATATCAAAAATACATGCAGCCGATAATTAAGCTAATTAACGATATGTAGTATACGCTGAATTTATTGTATCATTTACATACTTGCACAGTTACATTTACATCCATACGAGTAGGTGTGCACAAATTCTATACCCAATCTATAAAATACTCCGACCTTGTAGACAGAACACCCTACTTGGTAGCGCACTCGGGCGGGGCGCCGTCCTTGAACCTCCAGGTGTCCGTGCAGTAGTTGTAGATCATGTAGTTCTTCTGCACCCACTGGAGTCGGTCCAGCGCCGTGGCGTCCAGCTCCTGGTACATCCACGCGCCATTGGACCTGGCGCACGCCGCCGCGTCCTGCGACGCGCACCCGCTCGCGGCGAAGCCCTTGTACGACGCCACGAAGGGCGCCCGCGACCAGTCCGTCCTCACCCGCCCGCCCTGCGTCGCCCACTCCTCCGCGTCCCACACGCTGGCGTACACCCGCATCGCCTGGCTCCGCGGGTACGCCACCCCCGTCGCCGCCTCCCGGTTCCGGTGCTCCCGGATCGGCGTCCCGTCCACGTAGAACCTGCGTGCATGCATGAGATCTCCTTGTCCTGCGTCGAGGAGAAGAGGTAGAAGAGAGAGACTGATGATGCCGTCGGCATGCTACGTACAGGATGTGCGTGGGGTTCCAGACGACGGAGTAGGTGTGGAAGTCGGCGGTGGGGTCGAACCACATGCGGAACTGCTGCTCCCGCCCGCCCTTGCCCTGGCTGTACACGTTGGTGTGCACCGTGTAGGGCTGCCCGCTCGCGTTCCCCAGGAACTCGAAGTCGATCTCGTCGTGCGCCGACCCCTGCGACGACAGCTGCAACACCCACACGCACGCACGGATCAGTACAGTGCTCCCCATGGTGTCAGTCAACACGTACTACGTAGAAATCGGCGACGGTGCACGTGCAAAGAAATTAACAGAGCGCGTGCGTACGTAGAAGGTGGCGACGGTGCCGGCGGAGTCGCCGGGGACGAGCTTGATCTGCATGTCGAAGCGGCCGTACAGGTACTGGTTCTTGGACTGGAACCCGGAGCCGGAGGCCCTGTCGAGGGACAGCGTCAGGACGTCGCCGCCGCCGAGGATCTTGCCGCGCCCGTCGCCCCACGTGATGTCCACGTCTTGGTAGAAGTTGCCCGCCGCGCGGGCCGCGCCGGCAAGCAGCAGCAGCAGTGGCAGCACCGAGCACACGACTGTTCTCCTGGGACTCGACGCCATCGTTGGGATTGAATTCTTCTGCACTCGGTATTATATTCCGGTGTGTTTGTGTGAGGCGAGCCGGGTGCAAGTTGTGGGTTTTATAGGCCACTGGGACTGGGAGGAGGATGGCATCCTCTCATTCCTTCGATTCCTTTCGTCGATGGGTAGGAGGATGGTTGGACCAGAGAAAGAGCGGAAGGTTGTACGTGAGCTGGATCGATCAATAGCCCGACGATGCTGACCCGATCGACTCCATCACAAACCACACGGCTTTGTTTGCCAGTTATTTTGCTTCTGGCCCTTGGAATTCTTCGTCTCCAGCAGGAAATCCTTGCATTCGTTTGTTTGGCAGGGTCAGAGCGACTCGCGCGCCTCACCTATTTTGGTCCCGGTTGAGCAGCCGTGCGTACATGACTCACTGCATGTATCAATGTATCATGGATCATTGATCAGTGTTCAGTACCAGCATGTTATCAGTTAGGAGCGAGATCGAGCTTCTTTTTCTTTTGGAGATATGATGTTATCAGTTATGACTAGGCTAGGTAGGCACACGTACATGAGCTCTCCTTGTACGCCAAGTTGTTTACATGTCATGTCCTGTATCAAATAGCTAGCGTGAGACAGCCTTGCATGCTCATCCGATAAGGGGAATTCATGAAGCACCTAATTGTAGGCTAATTAGGAGTGACAATCATGTATCAATGCATATTTATGAAGAAACCTAATTGCATGGTCTGTGGACACCATTACCTTCTTGAAGGCGTCGCTGCGCTGTTCTACTTCTCTGCTAGAGACAGCACCGGGGAAACCCCTACTATGATGGGCCGTTTCGATGTCGTTCCCCTCTCGAAGGTATCATTTTTGGAGCTTCACGCAACCAGCGGGACGAGAGTGTTGCGTTGTGGTGACGATGACGGTGAGGATTGTTGCGGCACTGCCTGGTGAAAGTCAGCTGTAATGGCCTGAGGGATTCTGTGGCAACAACGATGGGGGTGAGCGATGTCAGGGTCGCAACATTGTTGCAGTGGTCGGCTCTTCTTCGACGTATATGGGTTTGTCTCAAGTTATTTGTTCCAGCCAAATAGGAGCTGCGGCGGCGGTGTTCAGGCGGCAACGATGATGGGTGATAGGTGGTCTCACTGGTGCAGATTGGGTCTATGCATATGGTTAAAAACCCTTTTCACTAACACAGTTTCGAACCGTCTGCTTGCAATGGTGTGCTATAGGTGGTCTTTTGGTTTGTCTGTTGATTTTCCACGACACCAGTTTTGCATATTTCATTCGTACCTCTCCATCAAAATTGGAGCTGCGTTGTCCTTGCCGCACGTGGCTGTGTGACTGGCATGGATCTTCATGTGGCTTTGCATGTCTTGATGGAGTGGGATGTGTCAGTGGTCGTTTGCAGCAAAGTTGGAACCGCTTGCACAAAGAGAAGGGATGGCCATGACACTGCTAGGGGAAAAGTGACGGCGATGATGCCAATGTGCTACCTCGACAAAGCTTTCTTTGCACTCATCTGTGTAGGGTATCTTGTGTGCGCTGCTCAATAGGTTGTGACGTTTTTAGCCCAGTTTTTTGTTAACTAACTTGGTCGCTTCTTCTTAATTAATGGCTAAGGCAAATACTTTGCCTCCGTTTCAAAAACATTGCTTAGTCCAACATTCGCGTGCATATACGTAGGTCATGATCATAAGATTTCGACGAGATGTGACATTCCTTCGCTACACCTCTGTATTATGGCCATTGTGTGACTCAATTGTGTAGTACTCCTCTTTTTCAAAATATAGGACACACTTGACTTTATACGGTCTTTGATGCATAACTTTAACTTGGACATGTGTGAATAGTACGTATCATTGTATTTGCTTGCAAAATATTTTTGTTTTATATGTCTTAAGTTATATGTCAAAGACCATAAAAAAAATCAACCGGGTGTTAGATTTTTGGGGAAGGATAGCAAACGCATTTGATAAGCTGCTATATATACATGGAATTTGGTGTTGGGTCAACCTAATTGTAATTTGACTAAATTCATAAAGAACTACACATCTGCATATATACATCTTTGACGTTTTCTATATATGCTGAGATAATTTATTTGCCAAATAACCAAATTTGCTGATTAAAGCAAAAGACCTAGTCAAGCTTTTGCATTGAAGTAGCATACACTTTCCACTTACGCGTCCAAAAGTTGGCTGGGCATCATATATAATTGTGCTACGTGGAGAGTTCAAGAGCAATCACCAATGGGAATGGGATTATGGAATATGGTCATCAGGCCACCTAATTTGCACACCATGAATCGCACATGCTAAAACTAGCTAGAATACTGCATTTTATGCCGACCAGCCGACCATGGCCAGGCCGGCGCCTCCACTTTGAAGTTCCAGCTCGAGCATGCACCGATCCCCATGGACACGTACACAGCACACCATGCAACCAAGTGCATCCCTGGTGTTACTGTGAAAATTGGTTGCAATATATTTTGATGAGATAATAACATGAGAACCAAAGTGGAACATACATATGCTTCATTGCATTTTTATTATTGTATTAAAGTAGCATACACTTTCCACTTACGCGTCCAAGAGTTGGGTAGGAATCAAAATTTTGCTGCGTGGAGAGTCCAAGAGCAATCACCAATGGGAATGGGATTATGGGATATGGTCATCAGGCCACCTAATTTGCACATCATGAACCACACACGCTAAAACTAGCTAAATACTCCCTTTGGTCATTTTTACTCCGCGTATTGGATATAGGTCAAGTCAAACTTTACAAAGTTTGACCATATATATATTTAAAAATATGAACAATTGCCATACCGAATATATATTTCATGAAACTACATTTCATAATGAATCTGAGAATGTTGATTTGACATTGTAAGTGTTGATATTTTTTTTATAAGTTTGGTCAAAGTAGAGATGCTTTGACTTCAGACAAAATTTATACATAGACTAAAAAAGGCCGGAGGGAGTACTGCATTTTATGCCGACCAGCCAACCATGGCCAGGCCGGCGCCTCCACTTTGAAGTTCCAGCTCAAGCATGCACCGATCCCCATGGACACGTACGTACACAGTACACCATGCATTCGTGTTACTACGAGAATTGGTTGTAATATATTTCGATGAGATCATAACATGAGAGGCAAAGCCAAACATACATATGCTTCATTGCATTTTATTATATGCAGATTATTGAATATAAGTTGTATAATTAAATAAAAAGTATTTTCCATGCATGATTGCATATTGTGGTGGACCTTTCTTCATGCTTGGTTATATTTAGGTGGGCCTTTTTCATGCATGTGGTTATATATTTTTTTCATCCATGTGGTTATATGATGAGTGACATGCTTGCACGTCAAGATAAATAAGATAATGAGGATCAACTATTTAGGTATACATGTAGGATTTCATTTTGTCTTGCGTGTCCATATGCCGACCTCTCGCATGCATGCATGGTTCAAGTAATCAAGCACCGAAGGAGTACACGGGTTGCTTCCAAGTATATGATGAAATAGTTGACAACGTACACGTACGTACGTACGTCGCGGTGCCATCAACATCCTGCAGAAATTCCAACGCACGCCGCCCGTATAATCAGCATGCATTGCATATACGCATGCACATCTCCATCGATCGATCTTGTTCCAGAGGTGCCCTGGCCGAGCACTCCACTCCACTCCACATAGCCTTATCGTCGATCCACCCAACCAAATGCCCATCCCATTCAATCTTCGCCACTATCTTTAGCCCTTGTTGAACCCATCTTTTCCGATAAGATAAAGGAAGGCACGCACCACGCAGGACTACTCGTATTGCAACAGCGTTGGGGACCGGCCGAACGTCGCCGTCGATCAAATGGAGTCGCCGATCGGTCCCTAGGCTAGCTAAGCTGATGATCAGGAACATGATTACTGCTAATGGATGTGAACAATGATTGAGTTGTTTCCTTAGTGGTTGCCGAGTACAATCAGGGATACATATATGGGAAC